TGGAAGTCATTCTTAGTCTCACTCTCCTTGATATTTGCATCAAGGAGGTTGCTCTGACGACAATGACACGCCTCCGCACGGTTGGAATAGAACCTGATGTAGGATCTGGTGAAGCGAAACGTCACTTTTGGCAGGAGGCGCTTGATATACTCCCACTGCTTCAAGTGAACATGGACCCCATCTCACCGAGATATATCTTCCATAAGCCATATAACGATTCATATCTACACCGACGGTTCTAAAACAAAACAAGGCTTAGGATGTGGAATATACTCCAGATTCTTAAACCTAAACATAAAATGGGCTGTGAGCAATAGTGCCAATGTAGTTCAAACAGAGCTAACGGGGATTCTCATAGCAGCAAAAGAAATAACCAGAAAGAATATCGCTGGAAGGAACATGCCCATTTATACAGATAGCAGACAAGCATTACTCACCCTAAACAGACCACGAATTTATTCAGGGTTAGTACCAGAATGTCACGAAGCTTTGGTCGAAGTATCCATTAACAATGTGGTCACCTTAAGATGAATGAACGGTCACGCCACATCGAAAATTAACCGTCTTGCTGATTCACTAGCTAAGAAAGCAGCCAACCAAATGCTTTTTGGACCTGGCCCTTCTATTGGTCTGACAAAATCGGTAGTGACAGATCTAATTAAAGAACATTCCCTTGTGAAATTCAAGGAAAGATGGGATGAAACAAGAAACTGCAGAGTTGCCAGGGAGCTCTTAAGTTATCCTGACAACACTGCAGCAAACAAATACTTGACTATGACTAGATAGAATCTGCGCCTAGTCACAGGCATTCTGACTGATCATTGCCAAGTACGGAAGCATCTCCATATCATGGGGCTCTCAGAATCCGCACTCTGCAAAGGGGGGGAACAAGAAGATGAGACCATCGAGCATATCCTTTACGATTCCTCGACGCTCTCATTTATTAGATTAGTGTTCGGTGAGTATCGGCTAACACCAGCCGATATAAGAGAAGCACCTCTTGGCGACGTTGTCAACTACATTAAATCTGTAGGCTGGCTCACGAGCTAGGAGGTGCCTATCATCTTCGGAGGATGCACAATGGGCCTAATGAGGCCTAAGTGCCGTAGGGGTAACCCACCCTCCACACGCTACAGATACAGATATAAAAACGACAAGTTAAAAATACATAACGTCACGTTGAATTGAAAATCAATAATATCTAGAAACAAAAACAATTCGTTTCTTAAGCTCGATCTACTGTGATCCACCACACTATAACAGCCGCAGGTTACTGCAGGATGCAGGGTAACAAAACATCCTAATGTTTGTATTAAAAAGTATTATGTGTCCAACACATAACCCTCCTGTACCTAAAGGAGGATTATATACAATTCTTCTGAATATTGGAAAATAAAAATCGATAACATCTTTATTTGATTTAAATAATAATTATTTACTATTACTAGATTCTTAAATGCAAGTCTATAAAATATGTACCATACTTAAAAAAATGTAATTTGAAGGTATGTATTTAATTTATTATTCATATTAATTGCAAATCCAATAAAAATGATGCGACACTGGTTAGAGTGTCCGCAGCATTTCCCCTCTGAATGCAAAAAAACGCTATTAAATACGAACTCTGTGAAATATATATGCTCAAAAACGTTATGATATATTAATAGTGGCACATCTGTAAGTAGGACAGGTAACGTTTGTTGTAAGAAATTTAAATAATTTTCTTCATTTAAACGATTTGGTATAACGACAAGTCCCATAATAAAATTTTTAATAATTTAAACCAAGCTTTAATTTTGAACGTACGTTGAATATGGGTTATTTTTTGTTGAGCTCGGATTTTCGTCAGCGTAAATGTGTTCGTTACATAAATTATTAGTTACGCCATGTCTAGTAAAACCAGTTCGTCAGTAAAAAGAATTTGTCTATGGAAGTTTTAATTTTGCACTTTTTTATTTTGAATAAAATTACAAAACGGTACACGCATTGCAGGATCTAGGGGTAAAAGTTCTTGTCATCGTTACTTAAAACAACTGTCATCTAGTCTATATAGTAGGGGAGACAGCGACACTTTTTTGGCACAAGACATTATCTAAACAGGCTTTTATAAGACGTCGGCGTCGTTGTCTACAGCCCCATCGCTGTAGGAACTAGCAAATTATTTCTATGTTCTACAAGGTAAGAATGTACGAAATATTTGTAATTTTGCCTTTCGCAAATAACAAACTTAAAAGTGTCACTACATCCCCTACCAATAATAAAAGTTAAAAATCACATTTACGGATGTGTAATTGGAACTTAAGGTAGGAAACATAACATCAACAAATTTTGATGATTTTAACAGGAAGTAGGATTTGCGCATGAGTAATAAATATCATTCATAACGGGAAAGGTCTATTAGGAAATGTCTCCATATAATCTAGGAAACTATGCGACCATTTTCGTTACAAAATTCGTATATCAAAAGCATATTGTAACAATTGTTTAATTTAAAAATAGTTTAAATTAAAAACAGTTTATTTATAATTTATTTACAACGTACTAATTAACGTATTTAAAACTAGGCACTATTATAACTTACAATTCTAATTTATTTATTACAATTTATCTTTACTATACAACACTTGTATTGAAAATTCACGTCTACCGACAAACTCGCGCTATTTATATAAAGCCAGCTCCGCACTAGTATATTTTCGATGGTCTAGAATATCCGGAATTTCTTTCTCTATGACAGCCGACACGCACCGATTTCTCTGGTAGCTTCTCAAAGGAGTGCGTTTCTCTTTGTCCTGCGATATCGAAACATAGACAAAGCGATAGCTGACGGCAAAGGGATCAGGGTCGGCTAAAGGTGGTTACAATACAATATCGTCTTGTTCATTGTATTGTTAAATCCATGTGCAAACGATATGGTAATAAATTTAAATCGATATCTGACACTTATACTAATAACATAAACATACATGTATTTATAGTATTAATATAAGTAGGAATGATAAACATTGTGTTATAAAAAGTTCAAATTAATTTTTTTTTTTTTTGAAAAGGGTATTGAATGGGAATAACTTTTTTTGAATAAAAACCCACAGTTTCCTACTTTTATAACAGAAATTTCAAAAAGTTACAGATAAAAAAAATATCGAAAATGTCCATTGCCCTCTCACTAGGCAGACGCTTATGATCGCAATTTTCGCAACAAGCTATATAAAAAATGGTAGGTAGAAAGGAAAACGGAAAAAACGGCACGATATTTTACGAGGTGTTTTCTTAACTCCGTCACCGCAGCCACACTACTACCAAAGCGGGATAGAGGAAAACATAGGCAAATGAAACATTTAAAAAGGGAGAAATATAGAAAAATGTTTTTCAGATTTGTTTATATACTGTGCGTTTGAAATGTATTTATTTAAGTGATATATTATTTATTTTATGACCTAAAAATATATTATAAGAGTAATATAATTAAATGCTTATAGCACATTGCAATATAATCTAGAAAGTGCAATGGTCTGGCAACCTCTTGAAACGTTCGCCAGCGTGCTGATCAAAGGTTGAGTGTTATTTGTTCAAATGTAAAATATGCGTGCATTATTCCCGACTGCAAACACCCCAGAAAATGGGATGTTAACCAAAGAGCTGGAATTGATTGGCTTAAGGATTTTATGAACAGAAACAAGAACGAGCTTAGCTTAAGAAAACCCGAAAGTACGAGCTTGGCGAGAGCCACGGGTTTTAATAAAATAGCTGTTTCGGAATTTTATGACAACTACGCGTCAATTTTAAAGAAATAGCACTTAAGGCCGGCAAATATTTATATCTTAAACGAAAGTGGTGTTGCAACTGTTTTAAAGCCTGTGAACGTGGTTGCTCCCAAGGGAAAGAAGCAAGTCAGTCAAAATAGCTAGCTCTGCCGAACGGGGCGAATTAACAACATTCGTTGAAATAATTAATGCTGTGGGTAAAATAAACATTTAAGTTGTTTTTAGTTTATAGGAAACTTTTTTTTGTGTTGGTTCTTTTTTGCATTCTAATAAATTGTTTCATTTAAACAAAATTTTTTTTTTACCTTATTTATCTTTAAAATCGTGGTGGTTGAATCTACATCTAGCCAAGGTTGAATGTGCCCCTTGGGAGAAGCACATTAAACCATTTACAGGGTTGTCGAAAAAAATATTTTTTGTATAGTTCCAATGTTTTAAACCAATTAATGCTATACCAGTTTTTTAACTTAAGCCTAAAGTTTGTAACATGCTATCTTTTGAAACATTTTGTTTATTTCTACAGTAGTTGACCAGTATTTTGTGTAAAATGGTTGAATGTGCCCCCCTCTCCCCTACTTAATGTTTTTAGAAAATAGGATTTTGGAAAAATAATCGTTGTTTTTTACAGGGTGGTAATTAAACAATTCACTAAACTGAGGGCGACTTTGAATAAAGGTGCGGGTGTTTGAACGGACTGTAGGTTCAGGGAACTACATAAAATATGACCCGGTACGACTAAAACTGTATGTTTTTTAATACTTTTTTAGTTAAATAAATAAAAAAATTAGTTCATCGGAATAAGAAATGTCGCTTAAACATGAGTCTAACTATAATTTTGTAGCGAATTTAATGTTTGTCCAAAGTCACCTCAACAATGGAGGCAACTTCGGACAGCAAAAAATATTTTTTTTAAAAAATTGGTGGTATAAAAAATTAATATAAAAGTGGAAACATATACACCAATAGTACGTGCATCTACAGTACCTAATTTTGTTTAATTTAAAAAAATAAATGCAATAATTATTCAAGGAAAACTTCAAAAATCCTCCAAATACACCTCACTTTACGGTCAATCCGGTTAATCTAAAATTATACGATAATAATGTGTTAAAGAATACAATGTACGTAATTCAACGAAACACAAAAAACTATCTATAAAATACTGAGATAATGCGAGCATGATTGTAACGATTATTGTTAAATATTATTAAGTAATAAATTCTTTTTATCTATAAAAGTACAATATTTTCAAAATGCCTGACAGTGTTTGCCAGATATTCAGTGGTTTGATAGGAGACAGAATTGGGAAATTTCGATATGGAGTGTATTAGGTGAGTGATTATTTTTCTTTTTGTTGTGACTACCTAACTACACGTATTATAGTTTTCTTTTTTAAAATTACTAAAACAAACTCATTGATTTCCACGTGGTACAAAATATTCTTTCAGCATTCTTTTAGGATGTTATATAAATAGCTAGACCTCTTTCCTACTTCAATTTAAAATATTTGATAAGTTTACTTTAATACATTTTCTTGATGATAGGCTGGTTATCTATCCAGTAGGATCTTTCTTGGTATGTGGACATTGTAGTTCTTAGATAATTTATGCCTTACGAAAAGTAAGTTTTGATACAGGGTGCCTCATTGGTGCGTAATTATTTAATATTTCAATTTGTATTGTGGATACGCAAGCACTTTTTAAATAAAAGTTATATGGATTTAAAAAAATACATATATTAAAAATATTTTTGAATATACGGGATGTTGCATTTTTGCCAGGCAAATAAAAATGTATATGTATTTTATTTCAATTTTAGAATGGTTTGGTAATACTGTATTCAAACCTAGATTTTTTTTTAAATATTACCGGGTTGCCAAGCAATTAATTTTTTTATGAAATTAGAGAATGATGCAGACCCCAAATTAAAATATCATAATTTAGGTATATTTAAATTTATTTCAAAATTATTTAATATACAGACTACAGTTACTAAGCCAACGAATAGTGGTGATAGAAGTGTTTTATTTTATACAGGGTGTTTTAAAACATATCTTAAATATGGCTAATTTTAAGTTCAATTTACTCAATTTTCGAAATGCAACATCCTGTATATTTTTTTTAGCAAAAAATTCCTTATAAATTTGCCTATCTAATGATACCGACATGTTAGCCAATATCACATAAACAGGGGATCCCATAAGTGCGTAATTGATCGATAGTTGTTTTATTATTGGAAATACGAAGAACTTTTTAATACAAAAGTTGTATGACCATATTTAAAAATTATTCTTAAATATACAGGGTGGTCCATAAACGAGATGCTGAATAAATCTATTTCTTTTTAAAGCAAAACACCCTGCAGGTAGTTATACATATTTGATTGTTTTCACATCGTCAGACAATTTTAATTGACTTCATTCATTTGCTATGTTGTATATAGGGTATGTTAAAACACCATGTTACATTTTTTTCAATTTTTTAAATACAGTATTACCAAACAATTCTAAAACTGAAATAAAATTTAAAACATATACAATTTTATTTGCCAAGCTAAAACGCAAGACCCTCTATATCCAAAAATATTTTTAAAATACGTATTTTTTAAATGAATATAAATTTTATTTGAAACTTGTTTGCGTGCTTATAACACAAATTGAAATATTAAACAATTACGCACTAATGGGACACCCTGTGTAAATATAATTACTTTTATTTTCTATTTGAATTTAATAATTACTGTAATTACACATTACAATTTTTTTGTGTCATCGGCATCAACTACTTCGGTTATTAGTCTCGTGTTCTAAGTAGGCTTTGCGACTGTTTTCTAGCGCCACTTTAGAAAGAGCACTGTTAGTTAGAACCCAACAGTGAATGGTCGAGTGGGGAATCCTATCTATGCATTAAAATTAATATTAAATTTCATCAATTAAATAAAAATCCCTGCCACCGGCGGGATTCGAATTCAAGACTCTTAAATCTCAAATTCATCACTGAGCTAACCCACCCTCTCATTAGAATAATTAATAATATTTGATGGTTTTTTAGTAGTAGTTTAATGAAAGGTGTGTGTTTTAACTTTAAGAAATGGGATAAATACTAGTAACACATTGCATGCTACGTCTCTCATATATGCGAGACACAAACCACAGGCATGTCACGCCCTATACTTCCCATGTTAAATTCTGGCTCAAATCTCAATGACATCGGCACCTCTTCCCTATTGGTCTGGGGTATTTTTTACAAGTCCGGGGTCACCAATCAGCACGTTGGTTGCTGTCACGTGGAGAAAAATGAGATCGAAAAGTAAAAAATATTCAGATTTTAAGCCACTTGAAGACAAAATTAGTGTGGGTATTACAAAATTTAAATTTTTTTGGTTTTTAAAATAATGTTGACGTCGATGACTTCTCCCTATTGGTCTGGAGTATTTTTGACAAGTCTGGCCTCACCAATCAGAGCAGTTTTTCACTGCACAAACCTTCATGATGTAATTTGTGTTAAAAAAATACAGATCTATAACAAAATTAGATCATAAATAAATGTTTGGACCAAAAAGAGAAATAATCAGAAAGCTAAGTTATATTAGATTAGATACATTTACCTGCGTAAAATATTTTAAATTTTCAAGGTCACAGACTTTCAGATCGATTGACATTTCAGTGCGATCTCTTGTGTTAACTATACTCTTTGCACAAACATTTCGCCGGCGTCTTCGTCGCTCATTTATGAGAGACATGCATCTCGTATTTTCTGGCGATGTATATCAAATGTGATACCCGCTATAGTTTATTTCAAATGGAGAATCCCAATCTTGTCCTCTGGGGAAAGTAATATTGGTATTGGTTTGAGCAAATTTGGAAAAATAAATTTACCACGACAAATGTTTAAAAAATATCTGTTTTGGGTAATAAAACAAAATTTATTCTGAAATAGCCTATTCCTAATAATGAAACAAAATTTATTCTTGGATTGCTTATTCTAATAACAAAATGAAAACGTCTTTCGACTGCAAAAAGAAAAAAGAGAAACTGAAAAAATTTAGGAATTAATGTTTTTCATTGAAACATGACGCACATATTTGCGGTTGTCCGGGGCACTTGTCGCAATAATTGTATGTCAATTTAGGTTTGGATTTTGTAACTATGCGTCCTGATTCTTTTTGAATTTTCGCATAGCATACCGAACACCTGCGGCGGATTTTTTTGCTGCTTCAGGGCAACGTTGCTCATATGTGAGAGATACAGAAAAAGTGAAAAAAAAAAAATAGCTAAAAACTACAAAAAAATACACAGAATTATCAAAAAAAACCTTTATTTTAAGTAAATAATACAAATATTGCAAAAATGTAGTTTGGCCCCTGGTGCTATTTTCCCGATAACAGCGTGGCACGCAATGTGTTAAAAACATATCAGTAAATAAGAAAAGTCAAATAAAATATCATCTTTAAAATGCTATCTTGTTCAAGTACCTCTTGAAATTTATACTCAAGTGCACACGCAATGACTCCTAATTTGAAACGATAAAATCTTCCTATTTTAATGTTTTCAAAAAATCTAAATTGATTTAAAAATAAATATTTATAAGATGCGTATAAGGGGGTGGGCCCGGGTCGGGCCCAGGCCAACAACTGGTCCAGGGTCGTCAGATTTGTATGGTGTCGCGCAATGGAAAGCAAACGGACCTACTTCGATCCTATTTGACCAATGAACTGGAGTGGGGTAGAAAGCCAATGTGCATATTGTATCAATAGAACAAGATGCGACTCTATGGGCGCTGCCATTTTTATTTCTCATCTCACTCGGGAGTATTTATAATAACCATTTTCTGTTTCACATTGTTATTGTTCAATCCACAAGCTGGTGGATCAGACAATAACAAAGTGAAATAGAAAATGGTTGTAATAAATACTCCCGAGTGAGATGAAAAATAACCTGTCTTTGCCCATAGAGTCGCATCTCAAGCCTATTGACAAGCATTCTATCCCACTCCAGTTCATTGTATTTGACCCGGCCCGTGATAGGCCCGTTGCTTTCTATCGCGCGGTAGATATACGACACCGTACAAATTGACGAACTTGGGCCCGATGTTGGCCTGGTTCCGGCTCGTTATACCTATATGCCTCTGAAAGGTACGTATAGATATAACTGGCCTGGCCGCATATTTCTACATGTCACACGTGATTGCGAATCGAGTTGCGTAAATAGAAAAGCTACTTCAATACGTCCCCCAGGCAGTGACCAACTAGACTTGGGTTTTTATGCGTTATTCGTGCAGAAAACCTACTTGAATATAGCCTCGGATGGTGCCGTATTGGAGTAGGATTTTCCGGTCTGTACGCGACGTATTATTCTGTAATTGCTACTTTAGTACGGCAAGTGTTCCTTTAGTGGTTATGTTTGGTTATGTTTCTAACACGCAGCGGCTCGGTATTCGGTTGTTTATAAACAAAAAGTGTGTCACAAAACAGCCGGTAGTAGATAAAAAAAAAAAAAAGTACAACCAACATCTATTGCAAGCCGAAAAGCTAGAGGTATTTTAGGAGGAAGAATTTAAGCTGGACGTCCTGCGAAATTAGAACGCCAAGGCGCCAAAAAGCGACCCATTAATATAGCATTCAATTTTAAGAATAATTTACAGTGTGCCAAAAAACGACGCAAATAGCGCCACACTTACATGTAAGATTATCAATTATTACTAAATAAAACTTATTTCTACAGTAATTTCCCAAAGAACAACCTAAAACTACCTCACGCCGAAAAGCTAAAGATATCTATTTCGGTTAAGGTGCCAAAAAGCAACCCCATAATATTGCCTTTATAATTAAAAATTACAGTATGACAACAAATATTAATAAACTATGCAAATACATATATGTTTTTTTACGCAAGAAACCACGGGCTGTACTGAAGTAGTACTTCCGATGTTTAGGCAGCATAATAACGCGCAATCCTACTCCAATACGGCACCATCCGATGATATATTCAAGTAGGTTTTCTGCACGATTAACGCATAAAAACCCTAGTCTAATTGGTCACTGCCTGGGGGACGTATTGAAGTAGGTTTTCTATTTACGCAATCGGGTTATACCGAGCATCTATAGTTCTAAACTCCACTTGCGATTGCAAAACACCCACACTAAACATTTACAACAGCATACGTTCTCGCAAATAATGGCTCGAATAGGGTTTGTTTTAGTTTAGAAACTTGCCATTTAAAGGTTATCGGTTATCAAAATACGTTGTAAGGGTCGTTTAATTTGAAACTCGATCGAGCGAGCATTAAGGAGACCGAGAAGTGATGACGTCACATTAGAACATTGAATCAAA